ATAGAGGATTCAAAAATGAGTTGAAACAGAATCCCCAATAATTGACCTTTCACCTCTTCGTTGTTTTGGACCAAATCATAGGGGATTTCTAGTTGAAAAAAAAAATACATCTTAAATAAAATTTTAAAATTTCCAAAAGAAACATAAATTACAGAAAATGTTGTGTTAATGGTTGGCATGGTTCTGGCAATTAGTAGATTATATGTACTTAATATACAGGTATATATGGGACAAAGCATCAACATCAAAAGCCGCTAGAATACGCATTTTGCTGATTATTACTTTTCATTTTGGAAAATAGTTTCAGTCAGATTTTTTACCAGGATGTTTGCTATATGTTATCTTCCATATTTTTATTATGTTTATGTGTATTCGAAAAGATTTATCTTCCTAAAAGGGTTTTCATTTCTTTAGGGTTGAGTTGGCGGTGAGCGCAATTCTTTGCTTATAAATTTTTAAATTTCACATTCATTTGCACAATATATCCAACTTGTGCTGACGTGCCATTAAACTCCATCCATTCATCCATCCATCCATTCATCACATGCATACATAATAATAAACTAGTCCAACCAATGTTAAATTCTAGCCTTTACAAAAACTGAAAGGTACTCATTTCACATAAAATTTGATAGATGATATTAAATGTACTCAACAACACTATTGAAGTTCATCCTTTTGGATAGGTTTATGATAGTGGAAATACATGTCGATTAGGGTACAAAAGTAATTAAACATAATTATCAACCATTTATATGTAGACAATATGATGAATTATAATCGAGTTAAAAGGTGTTCTTGTGACACGTACTGTTTAAAGAATGACCGATTTCTACGAAATCACATAAAAATGGACTTTGAAATGATTCAGTTTTCTTGAACTTACAAGTTTTTAAATAGCAAGTAATATTGTTGACCTATTACAACTGTTTTTAAATTACAAGTAAGATTTATTGACCTATTATTATGACTTTTATGATAAAGCTATAACAAATACGGACATAATATCGTTTTCCCTTGCTCTTTAGTAATAACAAGCAGTGAATTAATAATAATGATATCAATTTATTATTATTATTATTATTATTATTATTATTATTATTATTATTATTATTATTATTATTATTATTATTATTATTGGATACTCATATATTTTAGCTTTTATCATATTGCAGCTCACGCTGTTCTAATTAACTTCAAGTTAATGGTCTTTATATATCATATTCAAGTTAATGGTCATTATTTATCATATTCAAGTTAATGATCTTTATGTATCATGTTCAAATTAATGGTCTTTTTGTATTATATTCAAGTTAATGGTCTTTATGTATCATATTCAAGTTAATCGTCTTTATGTATCATGTTCAAGTTAATGACCTTTATTATCATATTCAAGTTAATGATCTTAATGTAATATATTCAAATTAATGGTCTTTATTTATCATATTCAAGTTAATTGTCTTTATGTATCATATTCAAAATAATGATCTTTGTCTAATATATTCAAGTTAATTGTCTTTATGTATCATGTTCAAGTTAATGATCTTTATGTATCATATTTAAGTTAATGATCTTAATGTATCATATTCAAATTAATGGTCTTTATTTATCATATTCAAGTTAATTGTCTTTATGTATCATATTCAAAATAATGATCTTTGTCTATTATATTCAATTTAATGGTCTTTATATATCATATTCAAGTTAATGGTCTTTATGTATCATATTCAAAAAAATCGTCTTTATGTATCATGTTCAAGTTAATGATCTTTATGTATCATATTCAAGGTAATGATCTTTATCTATGATATTCAAGTTAATGATCTTTATATATATATATATATATATATATCATAATCATGTTAATGATCTTTATATATCATATTTAAGTTAATGATCTTTATCCATTGTCTTCAAGTTAATGGCCTTTATCATATTCAAGTAAATGATCTTTATGTATCATATTCAAGTTAATTGTAGCATATTCAAATTAATGGTCTTTATGTAGCATATTCAAGTTAATGAACTTTATGTAGCATATTCAAGCTAATGATCTTTATATAGCATATTAAGTTAATGGTCTTTATGTAGCATATGCAAGTTAATGAACTTTATGTAGCATATTCAAATTAATGGTCTTTATGTAGCATATTCAAGTTAATGGTCTTTATGTAGCATATTCAAGTTAATGGTCTTTATGTAGCATATTCAAGTTAATGGTCTTTATATATCATATTCAAATTAATGTCTTTATATATCCTATTCAAGTTAATGATCTTTATATTTCTTATTCAAGAAGAGCGCATACTTGAGGGTTTATATTTATAGAATGTTTTCTTGCACACCGAAGCAATAATGTTCTTTATCAAGACTACTTTTGTCTAGACGTGCCTTCACATGTTACCATCTTACAATTGTAGAGTTTTTGCAAAGATCTTTGAAAGAACTTTGGTTGAAATCTAGATGATGAAACTTGATACTAGGGGAGTAAATTTGATATTTAGGTAGCAAGGTGTAACTGGTACGGTTAAGTATAATTCACATAAATATTTGCCTATATTGATTTTACAAATAAACACTTCAGTGCCGATGGGTCCTATTTTGGTCAGCTAGTCTTTATTTTCATCTAAACAAAATAACATCAAAAACCTAAATTTTACAAATATTGGTAAGTGTATTGCCTACAATGTAGGCATGTGCAATCTAGGCCCTACGACCTATTTTTTTTTATCTGCTTACATTTACATTGCTATTCTGCTTACGCCCTTGAGGAAGTTGTACATGAATGGTTTACAATTTTATTAAATTTAAACATTGTTTATTAAATGCAAATTGTACAAAACGCTGCAAAATAGGTTTAACTCAGCGCTCATTATATTGTCATCATGACGTCATAGATTATAAAAATCGTTTGCCTCAACGTGAAGTAACACTTAAAAGCAAGGTAAATTTATAAACAACGGATATACAAATTTATCAGTGTTAGCTAATGACATGATCTTAAAATTCGAGTTCATTTAACCCAAAGATTTTGTGCATTTTTTCGTAAAATATTCTTGTATAGTAAGAAGCCATAGTGAGTAGTGTTTAGCGCGCATGACTCGCAACCCAAATGGTATGCCTCGAATCATCATATTTTACCCGAGTCGACTTTTGTGGTATGTCCTTGGGCATGCGCTTTATTCCAGTTACCTCGGTTACATTGTACAGAATTTTAGCATATTTTCGTTAAAGGTCTTATTTTATTTTCCTCAATTATTTGCAATCCTATTGTATTTTATTTTAAAACTTTAATTGGAATCATATAACCACTGCTGTATTGATAATCAACCCATTCGCCCGGGCATTAAGTCCCTTAATTTTTAATTAGTTTTCTTCCCATGGAGATTTCTGTCAGATTCATCTGTACTGTGCTTTATTGCCTCTTCAATAACACATTGGAGAAAAAGTACAGTCAACAGAATGAAATACGGTCTATACTGGCTTATTATAAGACTAGCTGCAAAAACAAAGACCATGATCTGAAGTGGCATAATGCGCCTGCAGACCAATGTCTGTGTTGTTTGTTCCACCAATTACTCCTAGCAAACCGCACAGACCGAGATTTGTCGACGCTTTATATGATGGCCGATCTGTGTCTTTCAGTTTGCAGTAGAGCTCAACTTACAAGAGTACATACATAGCTAATTTCACCACAGTACTTGGCAGCAAAAGTCTACAAGTACAAGACAAACCCAGCACTTTTGAGCGAGTCAAAGGTTAGTCACGTTTTATAAATAAAAAGTATTGTATGCATGTTTTACCGTCTTTGAACTCGATGACCATAACTCCTTCTTGATATGTTAGTACCATACGCCCTCACTATTGTGATATAACCCAATACTTCAAAAGACCCCAAAATCTCTCGGCTTTTTCAAAATATGCATTTTAGATACACATCTTCATTTTCCATCTAAATTAAGCTTCTTTCCATAAATTGTAAAGAATATCATTCATTTGAATACAACTTTAAGGTACCATCAATGTGTACGGATAATGCCAGATAGGAGACATTCATTACGATGTAGAACATGAAAACAGTCTAGTAGTGCTCATAAATTTTCCTGTAATGGGAATGCGTCAACAAAGTGTCAGATGTGCTTTTACAACAAAGAAATCACGGTTACACTTGATGCCTATGTGATAAATAGTGCCTAGGACAACTAGTGCATTAATATTGCATAAGCTGTTGTTTCTGTGCTGCACAGCAAATGCATATATACTGCAGTGAGTAAAAATAAGGCTTATTTTTACACCACGAAAAATAAAATGCACAAAATGACTCGACCGAAAAAAACCTCCAAAACTGTCATCATTTAATACATATGTTTAACAGCTGACCATCTTGGTCGATACCGAAGTTTCTATTACTGTAGATTATTAATTTCTTGTAAATAAGTTTCAATGTTAAATCGATTCATCACAGACTACTGAGTGCAATGAATTCACTCAGATTTAAACAGAAAATTAAATGCAAATACATTTTTTTCCAGCTGAATGTTTTCTTTGAGAGAATGAAATAGCTCACAAGTGTTCCATATGAGTTCATGATACAAGGACACACAGGAATCTTTTCTTTCTCAGAAATGACTGCAAAAACTTTATTGCCTATGGAGAAAAGAATGCAAGACACAGCAATGTTGATGCTGTTGGCATCAGTGTTGGCGTAGGCAGCGTTGGCGTTCACTCAATCTTTAAGATTTTTTTTGTGCAAACCCAAAACTCTAAAATACCTGTAAGAAGTAGGAAATGGGATGTGTGTGATTTAGATTTTTAAATTCTGCAGTGTGGCAGTTTATAGTAATGTCAAGCACTGGGGCATCATGCCGCAGATATGTGGCATGATGTCCCACCCGGTCACATTATCCTGACACCAGGCCGACCAGTCCTAACACCTACCTCTTAATGCTGAGCGCCAAGCAAGACAGCTGTTAGTACCATTGTTTATAAGGTCTTTGGTATGACTCAGCCAGGCTTCGAACCCGCGATCTCCCGCATCCGAGGCGGACGCTCTAACCACTAGGCCACCGGAGTGGTTATGAGAAGTAGGAAAATGGACGAGGAAGGTCAAAGATCACTCCAAATTTATAATATTTTAATAGAATTTTGTACAAATTTGCCGTGATGCGTGCTTTATTATTGGAATTTTGCAACGCATGGAATTATCTTTCTTCCTAAACCATCCTAAGCCTGTGTCATGCCCCTCTGTCTGTCCTTGCTACTTAGGTTCCAATCCCTGCGTCAAAACATTGAAACCAAACAAGTTAAGATTCCCACACAATCACTATGCATACACATTGTAGGCATGAAACGGCCAAGTCAGTCTCTCTCCATTATTTTCACATAGGACCCAACTTTCAAAATAGCTCCACTGAATGTATTTGTAAGTAGTAAAGTGAAATGAGGGTTTTGGCCCACCACCCCCTTCCCACACCTCCTCCCCCACCCCCGCCAAACCCCTCATTTCCCTTTACTACTACTATGTAGACAGATATTTTGTAACCAGACAAAACAACAGGTGTTGGAATGCCATAAGCTCTGTCAACAGAAGTGACGAATTTGTTAGAACAGCGTATGTGTGGAATATGATTATTCTAAAAACGGCAAATAGATTTTACCACAAATTTTTTATCAGATAACAGGATGAAAATTAAACTGTGCATTAGAACGTTTCAGTTAACAAGGCGGAAATTAAACTAGCATTAGAATGAAAATGATATTATTTTATATCTCATTACCAATGATTAATGTTTCAACTGTTGATATTAAAAATACTTCACTATCACGACTATAGATACTAAATTTTACTTTACCGCTCACACAGCGATGGGACTCAAACAAATCTTTCATTTCTGGTTTGTTCAGAGGATATTTTTTGTTGATAAAATATACCCTTGACCGATCGAGATCAATTGTGAGTTTAGTATAGTTTTGTTGGCTAATGGGGCTGTGAAAGTTTTTAAATTCCGCTAGCAACTTTTGATACAATTGTTCGAGATAATTGAAATACTCGCTGTTATCAGATCTGATGAGCGAAAGTTTAACTTGTCACGTGTTCCATTAAAACATATACCTGATGTTTCATTATTAAATTCAACTGTCAATTGTTTACCGTCCATCATTAGATATTTGATGTTACTATTGTAGCTATTTGTCATTGTCAAATTTTCAAACATTATTTTATAAGTTTAGATAAAATTTTAGTCACAATGAAAATACCCAAAGGCAAATGTATCTACCCCATTTTTACAATAGCGTTTGTCATCAAAATTGTACAATCCACGTTTGATAATGACATCTGTTTCGAGTTTATGATGATTAGTTCGAATTGCCATAGCTCTCATAAAACTAACACCGCCATCAAGCGCGTACTTGTAGTCATCAAATTTCATAAACTTTTTAACAAAATTACGAGGCAGACCTTTAGCTTTTTTCGTTATTTTATTATTGTCTAACAATACGGCATACATTTTGCTGCGTAATCCGATAAAATATTTGATAGCGCTCGAGTTCATTTCATCTTTAAACTTACCAATAACCTTTTTATTTGTGTCGTCATGAAATTTACTGTCACGTGGATAATCGGAAAGATCAAACAGATGTCGATTATTGTACATGTCCTGATAGATGTCCTCGCATTCGATTTCATATACGAGCGAATCAGTATCAGTAAACAATAATCTACTAGCCGGCCACTGATTTTTAACAAAATTATAATGAAAATCGTACATCAGCCACTTTGATAAATCTAACACAGCAGCTCCAACATAGATCGGCTTGTTTAGTTTTAGATTTGTTTTTCTTCTTTGTATCGCAACAAGATTTTCATTAAATATTTTCATGCTCACAAAATCATCGTCTGACACAAGTTTGTTTCTGCGATTGACATCATTAACTATTTCAATATTTACACGTTTCCTAATATTCTCCATCGTCTTACCAAAAACGGAATTGTTCATCAGTTTAAAAAAGTTTTCCTCAAACTCTGTTTTCGCTGCAGCTCTTCTTGAAGTGTTTGAGTTAATATAACCTCTCATCCACGGCGATTGATTAAATTTTAGTACACGATGAACTTTTCTCAACACAAGACCAGCATCGACTGCTTGTTTTAAAACTTTGTAATGCAAAACGTAATTTTTCTTATCAAGTAAATTTGGTACTAGTTTCTTGACCATGGAATGTTGCCTTGGTGATGCTAACGCTTGTTGTTCTTTTGATAACAAACTATAATCTATGACCATCGATTCCGCACAGAAAGGGTAATCGTTATGTAATTTGTGTAGCGAATTTGGATAATCAAGATCAACTTCAACGAAATAGGAAACATCGTCGGGTATCTTTTTTTCTGTCTCTGATAGAAATCGATCAACCGTGATCCAATGAAATCCGCTAAAAGGCATTGGTTCTGCCATCGAACCACCGTAAAGATTATTACAATCTAGATAAATTATATACTTCGAAGGAAGGTCAGGGTTATACTGTTTCAGGTATTTGTTGTTTGCTTCAGCATATTTTTTGTTATCACGCTAATACCACCTCGGATACCTTTTTCGATAAAATTGAACATATCAACATCAGTCAGTAATTCTAACCTTACCTTACTAAACTTTAGCAAAGCATCCCATGACAACCCAGGGGCAGAATAATACCAGCAAGGATCTAGTCCATAATTATTATAACTCACTTCACGAAAACTTTCAAAAACATCTGCTAATAATAACACGTCAGTTTTCAGGTATAAATCATGATAATCACGAAAAGTCTCACAATCAAACTCTTTCCAGATATCTTGTGCATACCTGTACTCATCATCAGTTATATTTTCATTTTTAAGTTGTGAGTAAAATTTGTCTTTGTCAGGTAAAGATGTTTCATCAAATTTACTCCAGTCGTCGAGGTATTCGTATGGAAAAACTCCTTTTTTAGCTAGTAGATTAAATTTATCTCCAAAACAGTCTCTTAGGTTATCAAATTTACTACAACCTTTCACTAACTCATCTAATGATGCTGCCATAAACTGCAGGCTGTCAATAAAACGCAATTTACCTAGCGTAACTGACATGTACTTTTCAAAATTATTTGGGATGCATTTGATGATGTTATCGAGTTTTAGACGAGATTTTATATCAGGATCACCAAAAGCTTCTACTATAATATGGCTATCATATCCTCGAAAATTGTGAAGAATAACTGGAATAAAATCTGGAGCATGAAATTTTAAATTACACTGATTATGAGCCGCTCCACGATACTGTCCAGTCAAATGACAATGGTCATGTACTTTTTTGTCATCGTCAAAAGCTTTTTCACAAATATGACAAATTTCTGCTTGCTCGTGAGCGGATTCTTGTTGAGGTGTTAATTTTAACATTGGCATTACTTTTTTCTAACGATAAGTAATATTATCAACTTCGTTAATCAACTGCTTGAGAAGCCAAACAGCTGGATTTTTACCTTGATATAATTTGATCGGTTTAGATAATCTAGAATCAGTACAACAAACTACCTTGTACGCTACTCCACACGGAACATGATTTTGAACTTTTCTTGTACTCGATTGATTAGGATTATTTTCTACGCCAAGTACAGGTTGAAGTAAACACTCAAAATCAGCGTATATAACGAAAAGAATTTTTAGTTTGTGATTATGATGGACAAACTGTACCACACTATCTCCCTTAGATGGCATTGTTATTCTTTGCACATCACTACAGTACTGCAAATGCTTTTGTAATGTTTCATTGTTAGTACAACCATGCAAGCAGCGGTAACAAAAGAACTTTTTGTTCCTATTTTTATTGTACTGTTTACCAACTAGTCCGTTAAAGTTTTTAACCCAAACGTAATGATTTTTGTAGTACAGTAAATTTATAGTCGATTGTGAAGCTTTTTCTGAAATATATCTCGGGTATACATCCTCTTTTTCATCTAGTCCGAAAACGTTAATTGAAACATTATTTTGCTTTTCAAATTTTGGTATTTGATTTTCTGCCACAGGAAAGTTAATATCTTTAAAATTTAATCTAGACACGTGACTGATATATTTTTTAACGCGATCAGCGTGTTTTTCTGCTGGAAATAGTGCGGAAAGAACAGCCCATTGGAAACATTTGTTATCTACGTTTTTTATGTTTATACAACATCTTTTACTTTTTATTTTTGGTGGCAGGTCGATGTATGAACTACCTCGTAATGCGTTATATTTCATCGTGTGAAACAATATTTCTTTGATCATTTCAAACTTCCAACCCGAACCTAATTGAGTGAATTCCTCTATTTTTTTCCAAATTTCTTGGTGTATGTCATCAGATAGTGATAACAGATCAGTCCCAAGCAAAACACGTCTTGATTTTGCGTTCATAAAAGGTTCTGCAATTTCCTTGTTAGTTAATTCTTCCGTTATAACTAACTTTGAAAATATAACATGATATTGCACAAATAATCTAATACTTTTGTGTTTTTCAAGCTCACGTTTTACAGTTGTCTGTAGTAGGTGGTAAAGATTTGTTGTAGTAAAATTTACTAAAACAATTTGATTATCAAACTGATAACTATTATCAAAACCTGCAAAAGCAGTCGCTATTTTATTAGGTTCTCATTTAAGGCTTTTCTTAGCTATATCACGTAATTTTAACATTATTATATTATAATGTATATCTAATTAATAATTTTTTCACACTGCGCATGCGCTAAAAATCAATTGAAAATAAAAAATCTCCTATAATATAATGACAGCAAATCTAACAAACACATGTGAGCAAGAAACATATCAAGTTCACCCAAAGTATAACTTTATCTCACACTGCGCATGCGCTAAAAATCAATTGAAGATAAAAAAAAATCGCCTATAATATAATGACAGTAAATCTGACAAGCGCACGTGAGCAAGAGATTTATCAAACTCACCCAAAGTATAACTTTATCTCACACTGCGCATGCGCTAAAAATCAATTGAAGATAAAAAAAATATTACCTATAATATAATGACAGTAAATCTGACAAGTGCACGTGAGCAAGAAGCATATCAAATTCACC